AGGCCAGAAGAGGATTTAGGGCTTTAGAGAGTTTTGTTTCTTCTGGTTAATTTTTGGGGTGTTTGGCGGAAAGTACCCAGTAAATCTCCAGAAGCCTCCGCCAACTCTTATCCAGCATCCCCTTGCCCCGGCCGACACCCTAAACCCCAAACCCTAACCCTAAACCCTAAACCCTAAACCCTAAACCCTAAACCCTAAACCCTAAACCCTAAACCCTAAACCCTAGACCCCAAACCAGGCCTACTGGTCCGTGTTCCGACTGCGACCTGGGCAGCAAGAAGGATGCCGAGAGTGTCATCTGCAGGGTTTCGGACTTTGCCATGCGAACCCTAACCCTAAACCCTAAACCCTAAACCCTAAACCCTAAACCCCGAACTCCTGCTCCCCAGGTCTTAAACCTCAGCTCCTCAAGCCTAGAACCCTCCAACTTGCTCCTTTGCAACCCAGGAAAATAGCCGGATGGTATGGCCTCTATGGCAACCACAACACGGATGCTGGGAGCCGGACACTGAGGGTTTAGGTTTTAGGGTTTAGGGTTTAGGGTTTAGGGTTTAGGGTTCAGGGTTTGGGGGGGAAAGGCCCGGATGCTTTGCTTGGTAGCCCAGTGGTACCCTTTGTCCCTTTTTCGGGTTCAAGGATCGATTATAACCAACCCCAAAACAGGGTGCCCTTATGTTGTATGGTTCCTGGGCTTCCAAGCTTTGTTTCTTGTTTGTGCGTCGTCTGCGCCGATTGCTTTTGGGTTGTTAGGGCCTCTTACCTTTTGTGCATGAGGGTATGGTTATGGCGGGTGCTGTATAATTTGACAGAGGGTGTCGTGTTAGGATCGTGGTTCAGAAAATTATTGGGATGTTCGCCCCCAAACAAACAGTCCTCAATAGGAATTATTATTGGGGCGGTACTCTAATCCCTATTCAGGGCTGGGACATCCCGAGTTAGTTACCCTGAGTATGGTCCCTTACCTTTTCAAGATGTGTTCTAAAGTATGTGACCTTGGTTTGCATTGGGTGTATAAGAGCTTCCCAGCGACGGGTCCATACTAAGGATCTAACACTACTAAGGGCCCTTGTAGCTACCTCAAGAAGTACTTGGAGGCCACACGAGTAAGACCAATATCATCAGGTGTCTACTTAGGCGCTGACCTCCAAGCATCTTCTACAGCCCTACACGAGAGACCTGCCAAACAAAAGCTCACAAGCATCCACAGCGAACATGAGTTCTTACAAGACCAACCAAGCAACCCTGAAACACAGTGAACCTTCAACCCCCAAACCCTAAGCCCTTATTGTAGGGAACCCCGAAACATACTAGTTGAGCGGTTTAGGGTTTAGGGTTTGGGGTTTAGGGTTTACGGTGTCTTTCACCTTCCCTTGGCAAAAGCTTGCTGCGCGGTCTCAGGCTTGCTCTGGTGCGCCTCGCTGATGGCCCGTCTCTCTGCGCCGCTGTGTTTCTCGACCTACGCGGTTTCGGTGTTGGGGTGACCCTAAACACTAAACCCTAAACCCTACAAAGCCTATAAACCCTATAAACCGTATAAACCCTACAAACCCTATAAACCCTATAAACCCCATAAACCCTATAAACCCTGAAAAACCCATAAACCCTAGAAACCCCAACCCTCAACCCTACACCGTGTAGGGTTTGGCGTAGACTGGTGTCAAGCATGGAGAGGCTCTTGCATCAGAGTGAGAATGAGTACAGGCGCGCTGACCCCAGGCTCCCCGAACGGCACCCGACAAGCCCTAAACCCTACACCCTGCACCCCAACCCTAAACCCTAAACCCTAAACCCTAAACCCTGCACCCCAAGAGAACCTTGGCCCTGAACCCTACAGACCCTAAGCCCTAAACCCTAAACCCTAAACCCTAAACCCTAAACCCTAAACCCTAAACCCTAAGTCTGAGGATTGTAATGGGTGCATACCGGGAGGTGCCCTAAGTAAAAGTAAAAGTGGGGTTTAGGGTTTAGGGTTTAGGGTTGAGGGTTGAGGGTATAGGGTTTCGGGCGGGTGTTAATTGCATAAGCTCCGACAGAATAGGTACTACGGCTACAAGTCTGTTTGCCTCAGTGGGTCTAGCATAGGGGCCTCCCCCTAGAGAGGACTTCTTCAATTAATCCGGAGGACTTGGCAAGTTGGGGGTTGGACCCTAAGCCCTAAACCCTGAACCCTAAACTCTAAATCCTAAACCCTAAACCCTGAACCCTGAACCCTAAACCCTAAACCCTAAACCCTAAACCCTAAACCCTAAACCCTAAACGGAGGGAAAGGACCTAGGACCCAAGGCTGTAGGTGGCCAAAGCTGCAGTCTTCCGACGGCCACCACAGTCCCGATGTCCATCATCAGAACCCTAAACCCTAAACCCTAAACCCTAAACCCTAAACCCTAAACCCTAAACCCTAAACCCTAAACCCTAAACCCTAAACCCTAAACCCTAAACCTAAAAAGCTGAAAGGCGCAGGCTTTACAACCCTGAGCCCTGGACCCACAACCCACAACTCCCCCCCCCCCCCCCCCCCCCCCCCCTCCCTCCTCTCTCCCCCTCAAAAAAAAATGACGGCCTGAGAAACATCTCCATCTTCGAAGCTGGTTCGGTTAAGGGCTTAGGGTGTAGGATTTAGGGTACCAACGGACGACTCTTACAAGGGACCTTAGGGGTTACTTCGGGGCCTAGTGAGCCAAGGGACGACTCTTATAAGGGACCTTAAGGGTTATTTAGGGATTTAGGGGCTAAAGAGGGGCTACTTTACCTAGAGACGATTCCCCTTGCCTGGGGCTTCTCTGCCTATGACAAGCCTGCGCCCAAAACCCTAAACCCTAAAACCCTAAACCCTAAACTCTACACCCTAAACCCTAAACCCCACATCCTGCCCACGTCAAGGCTACCACTTCTTGCTACTGCCGGGCAGCCTAACCGGTGGGGACTACAGTTTAGGGTTTAGGGTCTATGGTTGAGGGTAAGCTTGGGTTGAGCAAGGGAAGTTCTGCATAATCCCTTAAACTAAACCCTAAAGCCTCAAACAGCATGAGCCTTTTTGTGGCGCCCCTGACAGACCTAGCCCAGCTAGGCTTTAGAATTATGGCCTAGTTCTGGGATGTTCCCCCTTATAGTAACAGTCCTTAGTCGAGATGATAATGGGGGTTACTAGAATCCCTGTTAAGGGCTGTTAGTATAAGGGGGAGCATGCTAAAGCTAGTTGCAGGGTCCCTGATTATGGTCCCTTACCTTTTGAAAGACAGGAGAGAAACTGCTTGGGAACCAAGACTGTGCTTTTTCTCAACATGTGCCCCCTGGGCGCAATGAGGCCCCATGAGCCTCTTTAATTGAACTTTATCCTGGTGGGGCGTGGCTAGGCCTAAACCCTAAACCCTAAACCCTAAACCCTAACCCCTAACCCCTAAACCCTAAACCCTAAACCCTAAACCCTAAACCCTAAACCCTAAACCCTAAACCCTAAACCCTAAACCCTAAACCCTAAACCCTAAACCCTAAACCCTAACCCTAAACCCTAAACCCTAAACCCTAAACCCTAAACCCTAACCCTGCGTAGCATTCGTAGCTCGGCCACCGATGTATGGAGCGCCCAGGATCCAGGCCAAGGGGACCAGCTTCCAGGCGCCTCTTGTTGGGTTTAGGGTTAGGGTTTAGGGTTTAAGGGTGTGGGGTGTAGGGTTTAGGCTTTCGGGTTTGGGGTTGGGGTTTAGGGTTTGGGGTTTAGGGTTTTATGGGGTTTAGGGTGAAGGGGTTTAAGGGTTTGGGATTCTGGGGGGTCTTTTCCGGGCGTCAGGATTCGGGGGGCATTTTGGGGTTCGAGGCCTTTGGGTGTGTTTAGGGTTTGACGGATACGTCTTTTGTGAGGGAAGGGGGGCGCGGGGCTTTTTGGGGGCTTTAGGGTGTTTGTTGGGGTGCGGCTCCAAGGGGGTGGTGTTCTATTCAGGGGCCAATTTCTTGAGGGCACGATTGTTGTGTGGGTCAGGACCCAAAAAACCCTGAACCCTCAACTTTGAGGCAACCTTAGGTACTCCTTAGGCGTATTCGTTGGGGATGACTCGGTCTCCTCCTTGCACAGGAAGGGCCTTGAGGCCGTCCAGGCATGGAAAACGGAGGTCTTCAAGACGTCAATGAAGGGGACTGGGGAGTTCCTGGACGAGGACGACTTGTGGCAGAAATGCACAAACCCGGTGGCAGTTTGACAACGTCAAGCAGCGGACCAACAAGATCTGGGACCATCGGCGAGGCGTCTACTTGCGCGAGGACATGAAGTTCAGCGCGTCGACGCGGTCGAGAAGGGCACCAAGCGGCAGCGCCGGGTTGGGGTGGAGCCAGACTTAGACGAGCGTAAGAGGAGGGAATGTAGGAAGTACTAGGGTGTGTGTCGGGATCATGGGCCGTTTTTACTGACCCTTAAGCCCATACCCTTGCAACCTTCTGAAATCAGGAATCCGACTGTCCTAAGTCTTCCGCAAACAGAGTCGTCTCGGGTCTATAGGGACGCTAGGTGTTTAGGGTTTAACGCTTGTGGTTCCCCCACACCCCCCCCCCCCCCCCCCTGGACCACCACTTCCATCCAAACCCCTCACTATCCTACATAGTCAAAGGGCGCATGGGCTCCCTTCAAGAACCCCCTAAACCCTAAACCCTAAACCCCAAAACACCCTTTCAAGGGGATTTCATAAGCAGGGCCTCCATCCCCGGAGCCTTGGCTCCCACTTAGGATCCCAAACAAGAAGGGAGAGGGGTGTCTCTCGGGATTTGACCTGGGGCCCGAAGTAGATACCCGTTACTTATGGGCTAAGCCCTAAACCCGAAACCCTAAACCCTAAACCCGAAACCCTCAACCCTTAGCTCTCTGATATACCCCACATTTAAGCTGCAAATTGGTAGGCCTGGTTGCAGGCGCCGGCCTGGTAGAGGGCCCCCCTAAACCCTAAACCCTAAACCCTGAACCCTGAACCCTGAACCCTAAACCCTAAACCCTAAACCCTAAACCCACATGGCAGGCCATGATGGGTCAGATGAACGTGGTGCCCGTCCTTGGGAAGTCCTTCAACGAGGTGCTAGCTCTGTCTGCGGATGTATATCCTAATCCCTAGACCCTAAGCCCCAAGCCCATACATATATATATATATATGTATATATACATAATTATATACATATCTATATATAGATATGCAACCCTAAGCCCTAAACCCTAAACGTAGGCAGGGCTTGGGTTTCAAGGGTTTGGGGTTTCGGGCTTGTTCTCTTAGCTTTCTGGGACTGGCTGCAGGGCTTCTTGTGGGATCGAACAGGGTCAAGAGGGTTGCAGAGTTGAGGGCTTCAAAGGGTTTAGGGTTTAGGGCTTAGGGCCTTAGGGTTTAGTGCCTTAGGGTTCAGGGTTTAGAAGGGCATACTGATACAATCATCATTTCCTTTTGAAGTCCCTCTGAAATATCATGACCGAGCTACACAGAATACCCGCTCTAGTCCCCGGCGCCATGTCAGTCATCTGCACAAGCAGGTTGTCAAGCAACTTCATCTCTGGACCCTTTTCTAGGACGAATTCCCTTATAATCCCCTCGAAACCACAAAGGGTACCCTTTTCATTCCTAGGTTACTCCTGGGTCCGGTTTTCGCCCTTTCAGCCCTTAAAGTCCTGAGGTCCTGAAGGCCCTTTAACCCTAAACCCTAAACCCTAAACCCGGTGACACCTTTCTTGAGATTTGTCTTGGGCGCTCGGTGTGGCACGTCGCCTGCTCCATTCCTTCGTTTTCCTCCGTCGCGGGGTTTACTTAGGGTTTAAGATTTATGGTCTATAAGTGTTTCGGGTTTAGGGTTTAAACCAGGGTTTAGGGTTTAGGGTTTAGGGTTTAGGGACTTCAGAAGCTGCTGCTGAACCCGTCGCGTCGATTCTCTCTGAGCGGGGTCAGCTTCAGCCGAGCCAAGGTTGAAGAAAAGAGAGCTTCGGGTTTGGGGTTGAGGTTTCAAGGCTCAACCGAAGAGGCTTGGGAAGTCCCTAAACCCTAAACCCTAAACCCTAAACCCTAAACCCCTAAACCCCTAAACCCCTAAACCTTAAACCCTAAACCGGGGCCTTTCTTGGGTTTCTTCTTGGGGACTAGCGGTTTGCAGGGCTGAGCTTGGGACTTGGGGTTCCGCTGATTTCATGTCAGTATTACAAAGAAAATCCTAAACCCTAAGCCCTAAACCCTAAAAACTCTACACCCTAAGCCTACGAGTTACTAGTTGCTAGATTCTCAGGGATGTGGGTAGGATTCGGCAATGCTAAGACCCTACAAGCCTGGAGCCCTCAACCCCAAAACTGCTTGCCCCCTAAACCTTAAACCCTACCATACTACCCGCACGGTTTAGGGTTTAGGGTTTAGGGTTTAGGGTTTAGGGTTTAGGGCGTACACGTCCGAATAGAGCACATGCGCACACATGGCCACGAAGGACTTCCCTGTCATGATCGTCGTGCTCGTGCTTTGCAACCTTTTAAATGTGCGACCCGGCTAGGAGACGAGAGCCTTGTTTAGGATATAGGGTTTAGGGGTTTAGGGGTTTAGGGTTTAGGGTTTAGGGCTTAGGGTTTAGGGTTTAGGGTTTAGGCTCGCCTAGAAAACGAGAGTCTTGTTTCTTACTAGCTGAGTGGATAGCGATTAGCCTTTTGTGGTATCAAACAATCCTACCATAATTGAAAGGGTACTCAGCAACTAGGGCTTAGGGGTTAGGCTGTATGGTCCTGTTTTCAGGACAAGACCTGACAGCAGACAGCTATAGCTGCCAAAACAGAAGCGATCAGATTACTTGGGAGCCCAGTGGTACCCTTTACCCTTTTTGTGGATCTGGGTTCCCTTATAAAGTAACCAGCCAAAACAAAGGTGCCCTTATCATAATAATATGGTTACCGGGCTACTAAGATTAGCTTCAGGACGGTGTGCTTGTTTGCTTTGCCTGGCAGGTTTTGCCACAGGGGTGTCAGGTTTAGGGTTGAGGGCAAACCCTAAACCCTAAACCCTAAACCCTAAACCCTAAACCCTAAACCCTAAACCCTGAACCCCAAGCTCACAAACTCATACCCCAAGTTTCGGACACCCCCTGTGTGGCAAAAAGTATGGACTTCAGCCTCTGGCGCTCCTCCTGCAACCGAACCCTGAACCCTAAACACTAAACCCTATGCACCCTAAACCCTAAACCCTAAACCCTATGCACCTTGAACCCTAAACCCGAAACCCTCGTATGGACCCCCTACAGCCCTAAAGCCCCAAGGTATTCAAAGATCGTTCAAACGTGCGGTTTGGAGTCCTTGGAGTTTGATGGGCCGGACCCTCAGGAGCGGCTTTCAGTGATTCAGGGGTGTTAAGTGGTTTTTCGGGGTTTTCAAAGATTTTCAGGGGTGTGAAGGCGGTTTTAGGGGTTTATGTGGTTTAGGGGTTTAGGGGTTTTGGCGTTTAGAGGTTCAGGGGTGTTCAGGGGTTTAGGGGCGTTAGGGGTTGAGGGGTTTAGGGGTTTTAGGCGTTTAGGAGTTTAGGTGTTTTAGGGGTTTAGGCTTTAGGGTTTAGGGTGTAGGGGTTAGGGGTGTAGGGGTTCAGGGTCCAGGGCTTGAAGCTTCCAGGCTTTAGGATTTACATTGGCTGTCTGATTCGGAGTTTTTTGACGTTCTACAGGCGATAGTATCCCTATCGGCCGATATAGGCAGCAATTGCTTTAGGACCCTATGCTACCCCACCCTAACAAGGGGCAGCTAGGATGGGAATTAAAAAAAAAAACATGAAGATCTGCCTTTTGTCGCGCCTTCAACTCTGCAGCCATCTTGGAGACGCCCCAGAAAGGGTCCCGAGCTCATGTCTCTAAGTTCAAACGGGCTTAGCCCATGTTTTGAGTAATTAGGGTGGTTTAGGGTTTACGGTTTAGGGTTTAGGGTTAAGGGTGGTGGAACAAAGCATCGGGGTTTGGCATGGTGGTCTTACCGCATGGCTTCATGCTCTAGGAGCAGGTTGTACCCGACAGTGGTGATAGCTATGCCCTACACCTAAACCCTAAACCCTAAGCCCTAAACCCCAAGCCCTAAACCTAGAGTATACCATTTTTTGGGGCTCAGGGTTCCTTTGTGCTTGGCAGCCCGGTAAGCCCGATAAGCCGAGTGGAGGCAGGCCGTTTGCAGAATCGTCCGGCCAAGGTCTATGGCCCCCGATACCACGGAGGCCGGCTGCCTCTGGCTTTTTCTTACTGGGGCTTACATCCCAAACCCTACACTCTATAATATTGTAGTCCAGACTCAGATCCCTTCACCAAGAAACAACCCGAAGTCATACAATATGAGGAACCCGGTTGAAACTAACGGGAATATCAACCGACTCGACTCCTCCTGCAAAGCAGCCCTAAACCCTACACTCCTACAACTGGCTCAGTTCATCGAGCACTTCTGACACATTGACACCCCAGCCCCGAACTTGTTGGGGTGTCGGAACCAGCCTAAAGCCCAGCTAAACCTTCAACTCTAAACCGCCCTAACCCTAAACCCCAAACCCTAAACCCCAAACCCTAAACCCTAAACTCTAAACCCTAAACCTAAACCTTAAGCCCTAAACTGCATCCACCGAAGTCGGGGTCGTCCAGGTTGCAGCCGAGGGTCGTCGCCTCGTGGCAGCTTGGCATTCATTTTGCTAGCCACCCGGTTTTCAGGGGCTTAGGGTTTAGGGTTTAGGCTCGATTTAGGGCTCAGCGTGCAGCCTCAGCTCGTACTGTGGCCTGCATGCAAAAGGAAGCCGCAACGGCCTTTGCTTCTTCCTTAGCCCGCGGGGGTCGCTTACTTAGATGCTGGCTAAGAGCATGCCCAGGTAATTTTCAAGCAGCACCCCCCCCCCACTCATGCTCTCTCTCTCTCTCTCTCTCTCTCTCTCTCTCTCTCTTCTCTCTCTGTTTAGGGTTTAGGGTTTAGCGTTTAGGGCCTAAACCTCAACCAGCCTCCCTGCCTCCATCTGTCGCCCTCCTCCGAACCCTAAACCCTGTTTAAACACATCAAGCTCTTGTCAGGCTTGAGGTTTTAGCTGAAGGGGCATTGGGATCTCGGGTGCTTTCATTTGAGGGTTTAGGGCTGAGGTTATCGGATTTAGAGATGCTGCTGCCCCCCTCTTACCCTCGGACTTACATTGGTGAAGGGGCAGTGAGGTTGGAGTTCCCACACTAGTGCGCGTCCAGTGCCGTCTGCGCCTTCATCAGTGTTTCTAGGTCCAAAAAGTTTTGATCAAGCCTGTATCTGCATCCCATAGCCCCCCCACCCCCCTTCCCCGCACCTTGGGGGCGGGGGGGGGGGGTGAATGTTCCCTAAACCCTAACCTTAAACCCTAAATTCTCAACCCTAAACCCTAAACCCTAAACCCTAAACCCTCCCTGGACCTGGGGGGGGGGGGTGTGAGTGCTTGGGGAAGGGGCTTCCGGTTCTTGTGCCCAGGAGCGCGAGCGACGGAAGCGCTCTGAGGACTCCAGTCGGCTCGATGTTCAGGGGAGCTCAAGCCTGGGTTTAGGGTTTAGGGTTTAGGGTTTAGGGTTTAGGGTTTAGGGTTTCAGATTTAGTGGGTTTAGGGGTCCCGGGGTTTAGGGGCTGTTGGGTTTAGGGGTTTTGTGATTTGGGTTTTTTAGGGTTTTGAAATTTCGGAGTTTAGAGGTGTAGGGATTTGGGGATTTTTCGAGGCTCCTTTGGTACCCCCTTGCAGTTCTTTCTCAAACCCTGAATCCAAATACCCTAATCCTAATAAGCCCGTAAACCCCAATCCTGATACCCTATTATAAGCCCTAAACCCTAATCCTGATACCTTTACCCTAAACCCTAAACCCTAATCCCTAAACCCTAAACCCTAAATCCGAACCCTGCTACCTTAAACAGTAGAGACGCCGCCATCTCGCCACCCGCGCGAGGATCGCAGTTTACAGCTGGAGCTGAACGAGAGGCCTGGCGCCTTCTTCTGGGTTCTTGGGAAGGTTTAGGGGTTTACGGTTTCAAGGAACTTTAGTCTTAGTAGCCGTCGTTTTGGGTTCTCTGATTCTTGTGAAGGTTTAGCGTTATATGGTTTAAGGAACTTTAGTCATAGTGACCATCGTCTTGGGTGTTCTTTGTAGAAACAGTATAGCACCCTTCTTCTAGTACTTACTTGCTTACGGAACTTGGTTTCAAGTTACAAACATGGGATAGTAAACAATATGGGACCCAAAGCCCTAAACCCCAAACCCCTTGTGTTGGCAACTTAGCTGAAGTTCCTGAGCAAGAAGTACTCCTTGAAGTGTACATTACTTTATTGAAACTAAGGAATCTTGGTCTCAGCTACGAGTATGGGAGCCCCTGGATGCTAAAGCCTAAACTCCAAACCCAGGCAGGTTGCTGGATACCTGGAGGTTCATGGTACTTAGTAACCCCAAATCCCAAAAAAAAATCTCTAAGAAGTGGGTTATATGTACACTTCTAGTCATTCAGTCTTCTGGCGGAGGCACGATGAGTCGCGGTACATCCCGCTCCGTGTGCAGATCGCCCGGCTCATCGAAGAGGGAACGCTTCCCCAGGCGCACGAATTAGGGTTTAGGGTTTAGGGTAATTGTGTAGGGTTTGGGTCCCAATAACGTTTTGACCGAAAGTTTTGACTGAAAGTTTTGACCGAAAGTTTCGACCGAACCGTTTTGACCGAGTTTTTTTTTTGGAACTATGTCTTTCATTTTTGGGAGGGGGGGGGAGGAGGCAGGGAGGGAGGAGGCGGCGGGGAGGGGGAGGGGTGGGGGGGGGGGGGGGGGGGGGGGGGGGGGAGGGGCTGGAACCCGGGCCTTTTTCATGCCGACCTGATTGTGCCCCGCTCCAAGGGCGGCGACCTTCGTACTGATGCGCCGTATGAACATGCACGTTTTTTTTAGGACGGCCTTTGCTTCTTTTTAGCTATTTCTGAGCGCCTGCCTGAGGGAAAAATGCTGCCTGTTTTTCTGGCAGGGCGCCGGCATCCGGGCTTTTGCCTCTCTTTTTTTGTTATTTCGAGTTTCCTATCTAAGGGGAAAATGTTGCCCGTTTATCTGGCAGGGCATCGGAATCCGGGCTCTTGTTTCTTTTTGTTATTTTTGGGTTCCATGGTCTTTTGGGGAGTCGCCTGATGCTTTTCGGGAGCCTCCTGGCTGGGGCGGCTCTTTTTTTATTTGGGGGGGGGGGGGGGGGGGGAATTGATGTTGGTGAAATCAATGAAGATTCGTAACCGAAAAGTGGCAGATGCGGTGCTGTAAATATGTTATCAACTTATGTTACTCACGTGAGTTGTGGATTGTAAGCAATTTCTTTAGCTATATAGAAAAACATGTGGATCGGTGTCTCCACATGCTTGCCAGGAACAAAGAGGGCCCTGACGACTGGTGTAGCACGATACAGAGGTCGCCGGAGGAAGAATGTGTGCAAGGGCGAGCTGCCGATGTCAAGTCCTGAGAACACGGGCCTGCGCTGTAAAGTGACGTGTGATCGCGAGAAAGTTGTTGTGACACCTCCACGGCCGCTCAGGCCTGGCAATGGTGCCACACTTTTCGCCGGTGTGGAACAAACCGGCAAGCTTAAAGAAGGCAGCTCGGCATTACATGCGTAAGGTGGCAAACCTCTCGAAAGGCGCTAAAAAGGAAGGATGTCGCTTGCGCGAAGTGTACGTGTGCAGTCATGACTAGTCCTCTGCTGGTTTTGGAGCCCGAGGATAACAAACTATATATAAATAGATAAATATATGTATATATGACGATATACCAAAAGGAGCAAGTGGCGACGAGCTTGAGCAGCCCCGTCGGGTGATGCTGCTTCTGTCGTTCATTGCCCACCATGCTGCTGGACTACAGATACGCCTGTGATGTGTTCGTTGTGTTGCTCACTAAACGACAGCCAGCTCATTAGAATCATTCGGACACAGGCGATGGATGCCCCAAAAGAAGTTCAGGATCCTGGCATTCCGAGATGCCATTACCAAGCTGGGCCGACTGTGTGCGGTGAAGCGAACAGGCGTTCGCTCATCGCTGGTCACTCAGCGGGCCCTGGTGACTCTGGACTGGCCGATGTCTTGCTACGCGACCTTGCAGGATTTGGCAAAGTGACCGCATCAGCAATTGTTTCATTTCAGAATGCTTATGAACATCTCATGTTGGTGAAATCTGCGTAAATAATGGACAAAGCGTCATAATCACTTCCAGTGGACAGCTATATCCGATACGTGAGGTGGACTGGCTGGACTTTGCGGGGCCAGTGGTGAAGGGCCACATTTGGATCCCAGAGTCTGGCGTCGTCTTGGGACGTGAGGCCTGAAAGCACGGGCTTGCAATGATACAATGTTGTGGGTGACATGCCGCAAGTTGCACCCTGACCAGGCTGCACGGTACTTCAAGGCCTTCCTGAATTCTGGTGGTGGCGTGGTTACGCGTCAGTTTCTCGTCAAGTGATGAATGTTGTCAAAGCAGAGATAGAGAAGGAGAGGGAGGGACTGAGAGAGAGGGTAGAGCGAAAGAAAGAAAGAGAGAGAGAGAGAGAGAGAGAGAGAGAAACAGATTAACTAGAGAGAAAAAGAGAGGGAAATAGAGATATGAAGAACTAGATAAACAATTAGAGAGGGAAAGAGAGAAAAGAGATGGACACAGAGAGATAAAGAGAGAGACAGAGATAGAAAGAGGAAGCAAAAGAGAGAATAAGAGAGCAAGAGAGAGAGGGAGAGTGAGAGAGAGAGAGAGACACACACACACACACACATACGCCTATTTGTTTTTGGATATTGCACACATGGTTTCTGGAACTTGTATTTTCAATCTTGGATCCATGGCTATCTTGGCTCCATGGGCTTTGGACTCCTGGATCTCAGTTATTGTGTTCATGGGCTTAAAGAAAAAACTTAGTTCTGGGATATGGATGCTGGGTGCGCCACCACGTCTTGACACGCGAATGAGTTTGTGTTTCGTATTTACTGTTGCTGCTTTCTTGCGGATTGGGTTTGGGTTCGTTGTTAGCCACGTATGTCGTATGCGTTTTTGGTTGGCCACAGCTTCTTCTAAATGTCGAAGTGTTGAGGGTTGGTGCTCACGAAACGTGAAATGGAAGGACGACCTGGCAGGCATATGCAACCTGTAGATATACATATATGTGTGTACCATGCATATCTAAACATATGTTACGTAAAGAAACAACTATGTGTATATATATATATACACTCACACACGTACACCTTGATTGATTTTTTCTGTGTTAATATGTGAGTATTTCTGTCAGGAATGAGATGCACTGCATGTTGGATGAGATCGTGGCGTTCCTATCCTTCGTGCTTCCGGTCGCACTCAAGAAGCCGCCACACATGTGGTTCGGCCTAAGTGCAGAGGACCATTTGCTGTGGTTGAGTGTGGTTGTCACATTCTGTTGTGGCTTTGTTCCTGAGATGGGGCGCGAGGTTTTCTGGCTAACAGCGGATATTGCGAATAAGAGCCCATTCGAATTTGCACGAATGTGGTTCACATGCACATAGGCACGGTGAGCTGAATTGCCTTGTAAGAGGGAAATGTGGTTAAATGGGTTCGTCAGGACTTTGGTGAGATTGCCTCTGGCTATACGGGGCGCCCATCTCAGTTGCTTAGGGTGTCCGTTGCAGAAATCAGGCACATGGTTTTTGTGCATGCGCCTAAGGACTTGGAAGACTCTGTGGCGCAGACCGTTCGTTTGAGTTGCTGCGCAAGGTTTGTTGCACTTACGACCCCGTTGCTTCACTGTTGAGTGGGGAGAAGTTTTTCGCTGTCAATAATCAGTTTCGAGGTTATTGACGATTCTATGACGACGAGCGAGCGATGAACTTGAGTGGATGCACTTGTGTTAAAACAAGGCCGATGCGTGGGAAGTGCTTTCGGAAATGGAAATAAGTAAAACCCACGAAAAGATATTCTGAAACATCAAATGATTTACAGGCTAAGCAGTCATCTTTTGCATACCTATCTTCTGCTTTTTCACATCCCTAAATATAGTGAACCCACCCGAAGACGCATTATGTCTCATTGGACTATTCTCGGTCTATGTGTGTCTGTGGGGCAGGGGGGGGCGGGGGGCAACGGTTGGCAGGAGGGTGAACCGGGGGCCACGGCAGGGGAGAAGGGGGGGGGAGAAGGGGGGTGGGCGCGGGTGGTTTGGAACCTTTTTTGGGGCTTTGCCGGCGCTTTGTTGTCTGGGCCCTGCGTGGGGTGGAAGAAGAAGTCCTCCAATTTTTTTTCGTTGTTGGAACCTCCGTTCACGCTTTTTGGGAGGGGGGGAAGAAGCTTTCTTGGAGATTTTTGGGTGCCTCTCGGCAGGGGTGGAAACCCAAAAAGTTTTGACGGGGGAGGCTTTTTTGTGCTTTTGGGTGCCTTTTGGAGGCTTTTGGGATGCCGGGGCCTTTTTTGGGGCCTTTCAGTGTTTTGTGGGGTCTTTTGAGGCTTCGAGCCTTTTGGCTTCCCAGGGCCTTTTTGGGGCCTGGGCCTGTCGGAACTTTTTTGGGGCGTGCTTGGTGGGGGCTTGTTGGGGCTTTTTGGTGCCTCCTGGTTTTTTTGGGGCATTTTGCCTCCTTGGGCCTCCTTCCCAAGCCTCTTCCCCCTGAGTTCGTAGTGTGGCGGCTTTGCAATGGACGCACCTCCCAGGGTCAGCGCGTTGCAGATGAGAGCGTGTGAGATGTGGGTCCGTACATTGAGTATGGACCAACTTGTCATGGTGGCAGAACGAATTGAGGACGTTCTGGCAGACAGGGAGCTGTGGTCGCTTGCAAGCCAGGCGTGATCAGCTGAATGCAGCGCTCTCACAGGCTGCGAGCTCATCTTCTGCGCAGCAAGATAATCAGCCGCGCTCACAGCATCCCAGCTCTTCGTCTCATGACAACTCCTGGGAGTTTCTTGATCCACAGTAGGCCGACCCCATCGATTTTGATTCAAGTCTGCTTGGCAGGCGAAGGACAGTACAAAAGGTGTTTGCTTGCGTGCATCTGTGTTATGCGATCATTCACTGTCAGCGAGCAGTGACGCCTGCGCCAGCTCCCCAGCTGTTTTGTCATGTGCTGCGTTTAAGGCTTAAGAACGTCCGAGGCTAACTGTTGTTTGTCTTTGAGGAGCTTCAAATAGCAACGGGTGCTTGGCCTCTGGGGTGAAACGAGATGCTGAAACAGCGGGTCTTGATGAGAACATAAACCGAGAATCGAGGGTCCAGTGGCTGGCGGTACTGGTCACCAATGTTCCGATTGTGGATGTTGTGCTTTGTAGAATGGCCACTACAGGAACAGTCGACGACATCCAGTTTGCGGTTGCTGATGATGTGTGGCGTCGCACTGGGCATGATTTACGTACTTCCAGTTTTTGCCTGGAGCTGCAGGGCCGACATGTGCCCTTTAGCACGAACCTCAGCGACTTGCCGTTGCATCCTGGTACTTGCATGCGCTTCAGTCTTCGACTCACCCACTGACAGGACGCTTACTTAGGCGGAACCTCTGAGTGTAGCAAGGAAATCCGTTTTCACATGCCTGTAGGGGCTTTTCGTGTTTTGCACCCAATGAGACAGAAGACCTGCACATCAGACAGGCGATTGGTTCTGTGCCCTTCCTCGGAAAATGGACCGACTGGATTGAATGTGTAGTATTGAGTGATAGAAAGGATGGAGAATTTATTCATGGTGTGAATTTGAGAACAAAATAAAAGGCTTTTCCGTCTCAACCATTTTTTGCCATTTTAGAATGGTAAAAAATGGTTGAAATGGAAAATCGGGCCTTGGGGGAAAAGCCCCAAGCAATTAAAATTGTTGAAATGGTTGAAATGGAAAAGGCTTTTCCATTTCAACCATTTTTTACCATTTTAAAATGGCAAAAAATGGTTGAAATGGAAAAGCCTTTTCCATTTCAACCGTTTCAACCATTTCAACCATTTTAATTGCTTGGGGCTTTTCCCCCAAGGCCCGATTTTCCATTTCAACCATTTTTTCCCATTTGAATTAGTAAAAAATGGTTGAAATGGAAAAGGCTTTTCCATCTCAACCATTTCAACCATTTCAACCGTTTCAACCATTTTAACCATTTCAACCACTTTAATTGCTTGGGGCTTTTCCCCAAGGCCCGATTTTCCATTTCAACCATTTTTTCCCATTTGAAATGGTAAAAAATGGTTGAAATGGAAAAGGCTTTTCCATTTCAACTATCTTTTTCCTTTTTGAAATGGTAAAAATGGTTGAAACGGAAAAGGCTTTTCCATTTCAACCAGAGCCCTGGTACTAGTAATAGTACTAGTACTAGTAGTACTAGTACTAGTAGCACTACTAGTACTAGTACTAGTTGAAGTACCAGTCAAGAATCCTCCTTCCCAAATTGGGCCATCTGCTAGGCCCTTCTTGGGCCAAGCCTCCTCCTTTGCAAATTAGGCTTCTTCTTGGGGCCCGGGCCTCTTTCCCAAGCCTCCTCCTTCCCAAATTCACGGGCCGGACCATGAACTCAGTAAACTTGTTCTTGAAGAACGCCTTGCCCAGCTTCGTGACGCGGTAGCTGCCGTCGGGCTGCAGGCTGCGCGCCAGCTTCTTGGCGCTTCCTCTAAGGAGGATGAAGTCGTTGGGGCCGTCCCGCACAAGCGGCTTTCTTGAAATCCTTCCCAGCCTTTTTCAAAATGGGCCTCCTTCTTGGGGCTCGGGCCTGCAGGCCCGGGTCCTCCTTCTTGGGCCCGGCCTCCTTCCCAAGCTAGGGCCTCGACTTATTTTGAAAACCTTAAACTCCCCTGCTCCCCCACTCCCCCACTCCCCGACTCCCCCACTCCCCCACTCACAGTGCACAGTGGGAGTGGGGGAGTGGGGGAGATGGGAGTGGGAGAGTGGCGGAGGGGAGTGGGAAGGGTGGGGGAGTGAATTTGCGCTTGGGGGCCAATTTTGGGCTTTGGGAGAGTTGTGTAGGCGGTTTGCTTTCGCTCAGTCCATCGTGAGCGGGGCACAGCGCTCGCTGTGGAGCGTGCTGGTGCTTGGCTGGAAGCTTGGTGAGCGACTATCATGGTGGATGCGGGCTATCGCAGGCTGTGCCCCCTGCGATGCACTTCGGCGTGCCAGCACTCTGTGGGCGGTTGGATGTCCACACACCGCAGGTGCCATTTCAAATTCATCATCGGGCTTGCCACTTGGTGATGCTATGCATGTCTTTGCAAGCAACAAGGCCATCAGCTTCACTACATGTCCATTTTGCTTTCTGGGTTTGCTTTGCAGAAGTTCTGGAGGTCTTGGGTCGATGGCTTTTGGTACAAACACGTGGCCGGGCTTCCAGATGCCAGCTCTCCTTTTTGCGCTTCGCA